AAGATCGAGAGCCATTTGTCTGAAAGGTAGTTCGTTTTTCATGTTGACTCAAAATTTCCGCACTGAGTTTGACAGCAGTCAAAAATGAGATGTCCGGATTTGGGGCATAGTCCACACGTACGTAGACCTGGATACGAGTGCGTTGGGGTACCGGTACGAGTTGGCTTGCTGCATTGCATGAACGCGTACAATCTCGTCAAATTGCCCGACTAACAGGCACAAACAAAACCTTACCGTTTTCATTCATAAGGTTTCCTTCTTGCACGATACGTTCATGAGCGTTCATGACATTCCTCACTATTCACATGTAGAAAAGTATCATAGAAAACTCTTCAAAACTGAATAAACCCTCTAAAATGTTGGCTTCACTCCCAACCTCTGACTCTGTTACTTTGAATCGGTGTCAAAATAAGGGGCAAACAACTTTTTCTGAGCTTGATGTTGATCGATTACTTTTGGGATTCACCTGTCGGAGACAAGAGCCAATTTTTTGGCTACAATGGGATTAAGTACGCATGCGCACAAATTAAGTGAGGGGCATTAACATAGGCCTACGTGTACGCTCATCATAGTGCATGCGAGGTGTTTTAACTTCGGTACTCTATACAACTAAACTTTACTTTTGCTAATGAAGAATTGACTGCCTTTACCCATAAAGTCATAGTTTGAAAGAGGATAAAGGAATTGGGAACCAATCTGTGCGCCGTACCTATGAAAGGGTAAAATTGGAAATCTTGCATATAATGCAGTCTAGACTGAGAAAAGGTTTGCAGGTAGAACATGAGGATACGATCTCTTCTATGAGATGAGTGGTTCTAAGAACGACCGGTGAGTACCAACTCGCCAGTTCGTCTCAGAACCACCACTCATAGGAAAGTGCGCGTTGTTTAAATTCCAATGACGTCACACCAACGAACTCCAGTATACGGATAGTCCCAGCTCCACAATCCAGAGACTATGGAACAGAATTGTCTTACACAGTGGTGATGTAATTCAACGATATGCATTGGGCCTCTAAATCTAGAACCTTCTTTAAGTTCTCACGGTCAAAGTCTGCCACCTCCGAACTTTGTAAGTCAGCCTGTTGTACACGTCCCTGAATTCGGCGCTGTATCACGGACGTATATAAAAAACCTGGACTTGCAACGCCTTTGTATGAAAAAGAAGCCAACCAGCGGCCATGTTACCGAGCCGAAAACAAATGCGTGGGTTGGCTCCCTTCTATTAACATCAGGAAGAACAAAGGCGGGCATTGCCAGGAAAGCTTTGTATTCGGCTCGGTAAAATGGCCGCGAGTGGGTTCAATTATCTCTATAAGCTGATTAAGGGCATTGCGAGTCCAGATTTTATTATACACGTCCGTGCGCTGTATATGTCTCCCTCATAGTGGGTACTTTTGGGTACAATGACAACCCCCCTTCGGACGGTGATCTCAGACTTCCGGGGGTGACAGTGTCTAGAGGGGGAGCATCGGGATTGGAGTTCGGGACTCTGTCGCAGCAAGGCAGGGGTTTTGATTGAGTCCCCGCTTTTGGGCGAGGAAACTGTTACCGAGGACTGAATGGGTGAAGTAAATTAGATTTATTGAAGCACATACCATACTTGTTTTTCTGGACTTTTGATCCAGTTCTGAACAAAACAGGTGTTTGCGCAAGTTAATTTTGGAGCGATTAAGGAAAATAGCTCCTGGTCACCAAGGCATGGAAATCTGTTCATGATCACAAGTTTAATAACAGCATAATACTCTAATCAACTCATATAAGAGAAGAGATTTTCACAAAATGTTCGAAGTTTTATTTTGCCTTAAATTTTCTGAA